AAACATTACCTTCGAAAATCTACCTTTTATTTTTAAGCTCAACATGTATTATTTGATTCATAAGAATTTTCATTATAAATATAGAAATTCAAACTTACAACCTGTAAAATATCACTAAATCTACACTGCATTGCTTAAAAAAAGAAGGAAAAAAAGAAGTTAGGAGAGGAGGCCACCAAATTATGTCGCCCAACTCCAGAAATTTAATGCATTAAAGCTAACATCCGTATTAAACAAAAAATAAACAAATTTAAAAAACGAACTTAGCGTGGGCTTTCCAGTGTCGAATCAAAACCATCCACGTCGCACACGGTGAAGGGCAATACAATAATTTCGCAAGGCCCATCAATGAGTGAACTAACACAACCGAACGACGTTCGTACACGTGAGGGGTTGCAGGAGAACATCAAAGTAGACGATCGGGGCTCATCCATAAATGCGAAAGTAAAAGATGAAAAAAATTAAAAAGAAAAAGAAAATAGGGTTTGTTTGGAGTTGGCGATGAAAACGAAGCGGAGCATGTGGATGTGGCTGTTGTTGTTGCTGCAATTAAATCGCCAAGCCGCTGCGTTTGCTTGGAGAGAGACGAAGAAGACGAACAACGCAGTAACCATTAAGCATTCACACAGCGGCATTAGCGAGCTCGAATTCGTCACCTTCGTTCCTCAGTTTCTCCGCCCCCATTTCGCTCTCTCTTTCGTTTAAATTCTCCTTCTCTCTCCCTCTCTGCGCCCAGCAGATCGATATGGCGACTCTTTTCCAGGGGCTTGGAGCTGGGACAACTCTCTCACCTCCCAATTCCTTAGATTCCAAGAAATTCCTCCCCAGATCCCTCTCTGCTTTCGGTACTTTCTCTCATCCCTCTCCTTTAGTTTCGTTTCCCTCGGAATTCGGATGTGTGTTATCTCATTGCAGCTTGTTTTGCTTTGATTCAGAGAGGAAGCCGAGGTTCTTGGTTGTTCGATCTGACGGAAGCGCTAACCACGTTCTTAGACCTAGATCTCGCTCCGAGAGCTTGATCACTAGTGCAGTTGCAGTTAGTTACTTACTTACCCTGCTTTTACTTTCTATTTTTATTGCTTAATTAAGTGACATTTTTTACTTTTTAGTAATGACATGCCTGTTTTGTTTCTTTGTTAGACCAAGGCCGATACTTCATCTGCTTCGACAACATCGAAACCTGGGTATGCTATATTTCTCCCATCCCTGAATGCAAAATACTATTTCTTTCCGTTAATTGACATTTCCCACTATTCATTTGCTCTTCGATCTTTAAATTTCAACATCTGTACTTTGCCTCCACTCAATTACTCAAACCAATGAATAAGCGGGAGAGGGACGAAGAAATTCTTAGGTTATTTTATCATATATGTTAACTTTTAACTAGAGAATGTTGGGATTTCTTTTCCTCTGGAACTAGGCTATGTGTTTTGCATTTGGAAACTATATTGCATGCACTAGGCGCCAAAGAAGCCTCCTCCTCTTCATCATGGACTTTGCCAATAATTTTGTGAAGGTCGTCATTGGGCTAATAGGGCTAACAGTGAGGAAGTCCTTACTTCCCCAGTCCTATCCCATGCTTGACTACTTAAATAGCTCTCTTGAAATTATCGTAACAAGACCTCCTGTGGCAATAGGCTGACCTTCTAGCAAAATGATTTTCTCTAGAGTTGTTAGCACCTTAAAATAGATACTGTCATGCTGCTTTAGAAGGGGTTCTGATTCTGAAAAGGGAAACCGCAACAGCTGAGAGTTTCGCCTTGATTGAATTAGAGATTTTGAAGGGCCTGTAGAGGAATATGAAGAAAGAAGTGCTTTTTTTTTTTATTTATTTATTTTTTTTATAAGAAACACAGAAAGAATATTATAATCAGAGCCCAAAAAAGGGAAGAAACAACCTAATGGCGGAGGGTAGAGAGAACCCTCCCCAAAGGACTATACAATTAAAACTTTCCAATCAAAAGAAGGCTATAATTACAAAAAAAACTTCTTGTGTATAGAAGCCACCAAGAAGGCACGAAGAAAGAAGTGCTGGAAGTACAACATGTCCTAGATCCTCATTCAGAGTCTAAGCCCTGTTTAGCGAGGACCTATGACAAGAAACTCTGGTCAACCATGTTGTATGCTTTCTCAAAGTTGATTTTAGTAATTACCCCTTTTGCTTCCTAAGTTTGAGGTATCCATAATTTCACTTGCTAAAATGAAGTCAATGATTTGACATTTAGCCACAAAAACTGATTGAGTTGGAGTGAGGGTACCATGGAGAATGTCCTTGAGTCTAGTGGCAAGCACCTTAGAGATTATTTTGTAAAGACTAATGATTTCAGTTCATTGGTTGACTGGTCGAGATTAAGAAATCTGTGAAGCCCTAACTTTTTTAGGAACTATGTCTCTGATGGTGAAAGACTTAATACCTTGAGAATATCAACACTTACATGCAGAAGAATACCTATCAGTCGCTTTACAATGACCAGGGCTACATAAGTGAAAGGCCTCTGCAGCTGTTGACTATCTGTAGATAATCCCTTTGTTTATCTGGCTAAGACCCCTTTGGTTTTTTGGTGAGTTTCTAGTCTGATGCTCAATGTAGGAATATGCTTTATTCGTAATTATAAATGGTTCAATGCCAAAGAAGTCTGCTGAGTGTTCAATGTCCTCCTCAGTCCTCTCCTTGCAGTTTGGCTTGGGTCCATTACCTAAGGTCATTTGGTTTGTTGGAGTTTAAGTTAGAAGAGGCTTGGTTTCTTATGCTTGCAGGCTTAGTGGTATGTGTTGTGTAGATGATCCATGGGGGATCATAAACACTTCCTTCTTGATCGACCTTTCTTTTCCTTTTTGGTTTATGGTTGGACCACAAGAGAGGTTTTTGCTAGACTGGGAACGGGGGGACATGCCTTGTAAATTGGTGGGCGGTTAGTTGTAAAAATGCTAGAGGGTGTCGCCCCTGTTTACCTTACCAGAGTTCATTGGGGTATGCTAAGGCTTCTTGTCTTTCTCTCTATCCCAAAGAAGGAATTCTTCTTGTTTATTCAACCAATGATAGTTCTTAAATCTGCTCTGTTTCATATGTGATTTTATTTATGGGTAGTTTGCTTTATACATTATACATGTGGAATGTGAGACAAGAAGAATGGAGAGTTGATTGCACTAGCACACCTAGTTTAAAAGGGCATTGATATATTTTGTTACTATTTCATGCGTCGTTAAGTTGAGTAATGTGGTTAGATCACCATACATACTAATCAACTGACTTGTGGCCCTTCCTAGGTGACTTTTAGTTGTCCCACAATAATCAATATATGTGTTAAAATTTCTGTTGTATTTAATCGCTTCATTATTCTTCTCAGGCACGAACTTTTGCTTTTTGAAGCACTAAGAGAAGGTTTGGAGGAAGAAATGGATAGGGACCCACGTGTTTGTGTCATGGGTGAAGATGTGGGTCACTACGGTGGTTCTTACAAGGTAACCAAAGGTCTAGCTACCAAATACGGTGATCTTAGGGTTCTTGATACGCCTATTGCTGAAAACTCCTTCACGGGTATGGGCATTGGAGCTGCAATGACTGGGCTGAGGCCGATTGTTGAGGGTATGAACATGGGATTTCTTCTTCTTGCTTTCAACCAAATCTCCAACAATTGTGGAATGCTTCATTACACATCTGGCGGCCAGTTCAAAATACCAATAGTTATTCGTGGACCTGGTGGAGTTGGGCGTCAACTCGGTGCTGAGCACTCGCAACGCCTTGAGTCATACTTTCAATCAATCCCTGGAATTCAGATGGTTGCTTGTTCCACACCTTATAATGCAAAGGGCTTGATGAAAGCTGCAATCAGGAGTGAGAACCCAGTGATCCTTTTCGAGCATGTTTTGCTTTACAACTTGAAAGAGAGGATTCCAGATGAAGAATACATCTGTTCTCTCGAGGAAGCTGAAATGGTTAGACCTGGAGAGCACGTCACAATCTTGACGTATTCCCGAATGAGGTATCATGTGATGCAGGCTGCTAAAACTCTGGTAAACAAAGGCTACGATCCCGAAGTAATCGACATCAGGTCATTGAAGCCCTTTGATCTTTACACGATTGGGAACTCAGTGAAAAAGACTCACCGCGTACTAATCGTTGAGGAGTGCATGCGAACTGGAGGAATTGGCGCTAGTTTGACAGCAGCAATCACGGAGAACTTCCATGATTACTTGGATGCACCAATTGTTTGTTTGTCTTCACAGGATGTGCCAACTCCTTATGCTGGGACTTTGGAAGATTGGACTGTGGTTCAGCCAGCCCAGATTGTCACTGCTGTAGAACAGCTCTGCCAATAATTAAAGGAGCTATAGCCAAAGTTGTGCTTCGTCTTCAGTCTGCGTTCCATCGAGTTAGCTTTAATGAAAATTTCACATACTTGAGATCTGTTGAGCAATTTTTCTCTGTTGGGAATTATGTTAACAATTTGATCGTTCGTTTTTTTACCTCTTTTAATTTTTGTCTCCCATGCATCCATTTTTCTGTCGAACTTGTTTCTGTAATTTTCAGTCGCAAAGAGCAAAATGGGGTTTACCAGTTCAATAGAATCTATTATTGGTTTTTAATATAGAAATTATCTTTTGAGGGTCTTCTTCCATCAATATTTTACAATGATATGGGCTCATGGCGACAAGCTTAACACAGTGACTGGCTGCACTGTTTTGCTACGATGAGAAATGGAGGATTTTTTTTAAGGCAAAAGATTTAGATGACAAAGATGGACAACAGGGAGAATATTTTTTTTCCCTCACAAATCTCAAATAACCAGGATGAAAATGAAGGAAAAACAAGTAACGAAATTTAGAACATTTTCATACATTTTCTTTTTTCTTAATGTTTAATAATGAAGGATAGAATTGTATATTCAATGCCATTAGAATTCTCAATTCTTGAGATGCTAGACAAAAATTAAAAATCCACATTTGTACAGAATATAGGTCACGTGGCAACATCTCAGAAATGGGCCAAAAATCGATCTCCAGCCTGAAGGAATCAGATCCAATACGTTTCCACGCTAACTCATCCCGCACCCTAATGGTGGGATCGACGGAGCACAATCAGCACCACCACTAGGTTGGCTGTTCCAAACATAAGACCATTGTATTCTGGTATGTTTCGAAGCACATCATAGCTATCGAACTCCACTGCTAACCTAGCAATCAAATTCCACTGCTAAGTAAGCATCGGATTGCTAATCTCTATTTTGCAGGCCACTCACATTTGAGAAGGGATCGGGCAAGCGAAATTTGCGCAGGAGCACCACGTGTCCTCACCCACAACTCACAACCAAAAGAAAATTTGAAAACTTGGAAGGGACGTCATGAAAGAGCTGGGGAGAGGGACACGTTTTTGTGTTATGCGCAAAATTAGAAGTTTGGTTTCGGTGAACCGTGTAGAAGAAGAAGAAGAATATATTGCACATAGCGATGGAAGAAATATTTTTGGCATCATCATTTCGTCACACCATATACAACACAACACTCTAATTTAATCTATCTCTATCTCATAAGATTCAAAACCAAATTCTTTAATTTGTTTACAGCTTACAACATTTGACCCATTTACGTGGAACCCAAATAAAGTAGCTGTGTGGCAGCTACACAGCTACCATTTAAAATGACAACACAACACACACTGACACAGATTCTTCGGCCCTGTTTTGTCACCTGCGGCGGCGGCTGTCGGAGCCAAACACGACCATTTTTGTAGGCACTTTAATGTCCCTTCACACGTGCCACACTACAGATCGAGCTGGGATTCAGTTTGGTCCATTTCATGAATCTAATTTTCAGTTTAGTCAGTTACTAACTCCGAGGTTGATGAGCTCAAACCGCAGCCTTCTCTGACAAATGAAGACGCAAAAAGTACTTTACCTCAAATTGCATTATGATCTCAACAACTTATATGTATTCTCTAACATTGTTACTTATAAATCATTGATTGAAATAAAAGAAGATCGATCTTTAGAATATAAATAGTAATAAAAAGAGAGGTCTGAGATCCTATTAAATGATCAATTGTTTATGGTGGCATCTTGCTAATATTGAAAGGAAGTATGAAGAACCTTCAAGGCACATCTATAACAAGATTTGTAGATTTACTTAGATTGATAAGTTGCAGGAGGATATTTTACTCTTATATATGCATGAAGAAGAAGGTTAATATTGCCATCTTGTAGTTTATTTGCCTGACAAAACTGAATTTAATTTGTTAGGCATGTTGAATATAGCACGAACAACATTGAGAGAGTTTATATATATAAAATTGAAAGACATTCTAAAATGTGAGAATTAGAAATAATTATAGAAAAAATGACATTTAATTGAGTTGAAGAGTGAAAGTTTAAGATACCGTAAATCTCGCTTCTTGCTCTCATAATCAAGTACTATAAAGTCCAAAAGATGATATAGATTGATTACCCGTAACTTTCTCTTTGATTGTTGGTGTATAACCACGAGATCGCATCCGACTTCTTATGCTCAAGTCAAGGATATAGGGGAAGAAGTTAATAGGGCATGTCTACGATGTCCATAGAGTTGATGACTTCAAATATATGTGTACAAACATACTTTGACTAAGTATGATTCTTGGACAAACGTGTTTTGTTGAGATATTAGGAAATATTAATTGATTGATGGTGGCTCTTGGAAAATATGTGTAAAGGAACAAAATATAAAAATGGTGGGTTATGGCATGGGATCTATGGACGGTGGAATTTTGTGCAAAAAGTTATTATTATTATTTCGGGGGACAAACAAAAGCTTAAATTTTGCAGATCTCTCTCCCAAAAGCCAAATTTGACTTGTGAGAAAATAGACCACAGTCGCCGGCCTCTACTTTTCCATCCTTGCCTTCACAATTTATGGACTCTGTTTCTGTTTTCAGAAAATTTATAATAATGTTTGAGAAAGTTTGAATAGTTATATTTGTTTTCCGAGATTTGTATATGAGAATATCAAAAAATTATATAGTTGTTCCAGAAAAACCTTAGGAGTATTCATGTAATTTATATTTTGTCTTTTTATATATTGAGCATAGCTTAATGTAATTGATATATATCTCCAACTAAGAAGTTGTAAGTTCAATTCCCCATATATAATATATACTTAATTGTATAGAGTTGTTTATAAGTGGATGAGTACATTAATTTATTTTAATTATAAAATTAAAAATAAAGATAAAAAAATATTGATTAAGGAAAATGAGGACGAATATCTAAAAGCAAGGACTCCCCCAACAAATCTATGTTTCAAAAGCATCCAAAATATATCTAAGATGCTTCTTTCATGGATATTACATTTTCTATAAAAACAAAAGTGAAAATCCAAATATCCCTTCTATGAGTATCTTGGATTCCCATAAAACAAATGGCTCCTCACGTGTTTGTGTTCGTAGGGTTCGTATAATAACTTTCTAATGAACCATAGTGATAAGATAATAGTAGTATTTAAAGATTACATGTGGTAAATTGATTTTAGTCGGATTCATGCATTTGGTGGTATAAAACGTTGTTGTTGTTATTATTTTTGCAAAGGATAAAATGTTAAATTGATGTGAGTTAACCATGCTCACTTGACATAAGATTGAAAAGTTCCAATAGCAATATTTTTTTAAAGTATAAAGATTAAATAAATACGATGCTCAAAATTTTACCTATCTATTAGAAATTTTTATAAATACATGACCTAAATAATCGCCCTTTTAAAGAAGTTATTTACTAAACTTTATAATTTAACCAAAACTACTTATGTGAGTAGCTACCCTTTTTACACTATCAAATAAATGAGAGAGACTTCTTTGATCACACATCTTACAATTACAAACAGGACCCTACATTTCTTTTTTTTCAAAAAAAGAAAAAAAAAGTTAATTATAAATTTAGTCACTATATTTTCATTCCTATTTGTATCTAACGGGCCCTTTTTAACTCTAAAAGGTGTCTATCTTAAAAAAAACAAAAAAAAAACAAAAAAAACTTCTCTATCTAATATATTTGTGAAATTTTATATTTAGATCCATAAAGTTTTAAAAATATCTAGTAAAATTAGGATTATGTTAAACACAAAATAGAAAGCTAAGCGATTTGTTACACCTTTTAAATTAAAAATATATTAAACACAGTACTAAAAGTTTAAAATTCAAATATCTATCAGAAAGTTTTACAATTTACATGTGGACTAAACACAATATTAAAAAGCTAAAAAGTCTATTCACTTTTTAAAATTATAAAAAAAAATCTAAAACAATCCTAAAAACTCAACAACTTCAAATGAACCCCATTTTACAGGAGACTACGTTTCATATCATACACAAATGGAAAAAGAAAAAAATGGAAGAGGAAGAGGATGCCATAACTGCTAACTGCTAAGCCTGATGTGCCAAATCGTTGGCATCTATAAAGGTACCATGGAAACCGTACGGCACTCTCGTCGGCAGCTCCACCGAAGCTTCCATCTCCAAATCCATGGCGTTCACTATCTGAAGCTCCGATTTCCCCCTCCTCTCGTCGTGCACCATCGCCATTATAAACCCTTCCTCTTCCTTCTCGCTCTTCCCCATCAAATACGGCTCTCCGCCGTACCGGTCCTCGCCGTAAACGTACCTC